TATGCCAGCAAGTTTGGAAAACTCAGCACTGGCCAGAGCACTTGAAAAGATCAGTCTACATCCCAATTCCAAAGATGGGCAGTGCCAAAGAATGTTCCAACTACCGTACAATTGCATTCATTTCACATGCTAGCAAGGATATGCTCAAAATCCTCCAAGGTAGGCTTCAGCACTATGTGGACTGAGAACTCCCTGAAGTACAAGCTGGATTTCGAAGGGGCAGAGGAACTAGAGACCAAATTGGTAATATGCACTGGATTCTGGAGAAAGCCAGAGAGTTCCAGAAAAACATCTACTTCTACTTCACTGACTACGCAAAAGCCTTTGATTGTGTGGACCACAGCAAACTATGGCAAGTCCTTAAAGAAATGGGAGTGCCTGATCACCTTACCTATCTCCTGAGAAACCTATATGTGGGACAGGAAGCAACAGTTAGCACTGGATATGGAACAACTGATTGGTTCAAAATGGGGAAAGGAGTACGACAAGACTCTTTACTGTCTCCTGCTTATTTAACTGATATGCAGAATACATCATGCAAAAGGCTGGACTGGAGGAATCCTAAACCAGAATTAAGATTGCTGGAAGAAATAGCAACAACCTCCAATATGCAGATGATACCACTCTGATGGCAGAAAGTGAGGAGGAATTAAAGTACCTTTAATGAGGGTGAAAGAAGAGAGTGCAAAAAATGGTCTGTACCTCAACATCAAAAAAAACACACCTAAGATCATGGCCACTGGTCCCATCACCTTCTGGCAAATAGAAGGGGAAGATATGGAAGCAGTGACAGATTTTACTTTCTTGGGCTCCATGATCACTGCAGATAGTGACAGCAGCCACAAAATTAAAAGAGCCTTGGTTCTTGGGAGGACAGCAATGACAAACCTTGACAGCATCTTGAAAAGCAGAGATATCACCCTGATGACAAACATCCGCACAGTCAAAGCTATGGTTTTTCCAGTAGTGATGTATGGAAGCGAGAGCTGACAATAAAGAAAGCTGACTGCCAAAGGACTGATGCTTTTGAATTGTGGTGCTGGAGGAGGCTCTTGAGAGTCCCCTGGACTGCAAGGAGAACCTATCCATTATGAAGGAAATCAACCCTGAGTGCTCACTGGAAGGACAGATCCTGAAGCTTAGGCTCCAATACTTTGGCCATCTCATGAGAAGAGAAGACTCCCTGGAAAAGACCCTGATGTTGGGAAAGTGTGAGGGCAAGAGGAGAAGGGGACGACAGAGGACGAGATGGTTGGACAGTGTCATCGAAGCTATCAACATGAATTTGACCCAAGAGTTGGACACGACTAAACAACAACAACAATACAAGCAATCTGTTACAGCTTAAGAGCCAGTGAAAAACACAGAAACAAAGCATCTCTCCTCTGACATATCAATCATCATGATCCTCTTTCCAGAGTTTTTTAGGTAGTGAATACATGGAAGTAGTTCACCATTCCCTTCTTCTGTGGGTGCCCTGGGACTGTGCAGTTTGCCCAAGGCCACACAGTCTGTCTCTACTCACAGGAGGCACAGACACAGTGGGGAATCGAACTCCTAACCTAAACTTATCCAACCAGCTTCCTCTAACAAAAATATCAAGTAAAAGACTTCTTGCTCCCGCCTGGTTAACCCTCTTTAGTAAATTATTAAACAGAAATATTACAAATATTTCCCTTGCTTTTCTTCATACAACCAAAGTGGAAAACCTACCTAAGCCTTTCTCTGCACACTGTCAATCACCCCATCATCACCCTTTGCAGGAAGGTTAGATGGGGCAGATATGCAACAGATGGTTAGTATGGGTTTGGAGAAGGAGGGGAAAAACTGGTGAGGGGAAGTGACATGGAATTGGAAGAAGGCAGGGAAAAGGATGCAAGAGTTCTGTGTTTAAAGGACAACATTGCTCAGTTTTACTGCCAATTGTGCCAGCAACAAGAAAATGGCAATCTCACTCCTTGGATTTTCTTTAAAAGTGCAAGGCATGTGATTAGAGGCTTTATTTGAAAGAAAAAAAGAACAGGAAAAAAACTACTTCTCTTCCATGAAACAGCAACCTGTCCAAAGTGTGAGGGGGCTTTTTGGAAAAAAAAAATCTGGGCACTGCACAGCTCAGAGGTCAGGTCCAACTTAGCTTTTTGACTATGTTGGCAACAGTTCAGCTGCGCCAAAAATATATCCCAGGCTGGGGTGGCAGCAACAGAGCTTCTCAAATCTATGTACGGGTACCAGTCATCTAATAATCAAGCCTTCAACTGAGTCTTTCCTGTTGAGTTCTATCTATATGGCCAGATAGTATTAGCAATACCACCGTCACCCAGATTGCATTTTATCTGGATTTTAGAGTATTACTAGTATTAAATACAGTACTTTTCCTCTTTTTTTGCTTCGCAAAAAGGTGGGCTGTAAAAATACATGTATCACCTTCAGTTGTTCCCTTGAGGTTGTACCCTTAAGCATAGAGGACGGTGGATTACCACCAGTGTCATACTGAATCCTTCTTCTCGCCTGCCCTGTCTCCTTCTCCGCATTTTAGCGTCCGCCTCAACTGCTTAGGATCGTTCCCATGGCTGCCAACAGCAATCAATATAGCAGCACAAGACCGTCTTTAAGATTACAAGACTCGACTCGGGGATGTGTTTCCTGCCACAGACTAACGCGCCCCCCCTCCCAGAAATATATGAGGGGAACGAATCCTGCTCAAACAGAAATGACCGCTCTATCCTTTCGTCTCTGTCGCGCCCTTTCCCTTCTTATTGCTTCGGAGGCCGAAGCCGGATGTGGGTGAGCCCGGCGGTGGCGAAAGGTCGGCCGCCCCTCCCTCGGTGTCTCTCTATGGTTGCCGTGGCGGTTCCGAGGCGGCGGGGAGGCGCGCTGTCACGGGACTGTTTGGCGCGAGGAGGTTCTTTCAGGCAAGGAGGACCATTTGCAGAGAGAGAGAGAATAGTGTGTGTGTGAGGGGGGCTCCCAGGAGGCCGAGGGGGCTGCGGCCTGGTGTTGGGATGGAGGATGGAGTGGGGAGCGCGCGGGGGGGCGGGTGCGCAGCTACTATTGTATGCTCGAAGTTTAGGGGGGAAAAGCGGCTCTGCTGGCTCGCCTCAATGAGGTTGGGGGGAGACGAGGCCACCCTCAGGTGGGGGGGGCTTTTGCGAGGAAGGGGGGGGAGGAAGGGGGGGAGCGGAAAGCAAAGGG